AATCGGAACATGGAGTGTATGAAGTATGAAACTAGGAAAACTGTAAGTCATCAGAAATGAAATGCACTGTGTAATGATCCATGTCCTAGGCATGAGTGAGCTGCAATGGATTGGTATTGGCCATTTTGGATCAATCATATGGTCTACTATTCTGGGAATGACAAATTGAAGAGGAATGGCATCGCATTCATCATCAAAAAGAACACTTCAGGATCTATCCTCAAGTACAGTGCTGTCAGTTATAGGATAATACCCATACAAGGACTACTACTAGTTAATATGATTGTTATTCAAATTTACACACCAACCACTAAGGCCAAAGATGAAGAAACTGAAGATTTTTACCAACTTCTGCAGTCTGAAATTGATCAAACATGCAGTCAAGATGCATTGATAATTACTGGTGATTGGAATGTGAAAGTTGGAAACAAAAAAGGATTGGTAGTTGGAAAATATGGCCTTGGTGACAGAAACAACGCTGGAAATCACATGATAGAATTTTGCAAGACCAATGACTTCTTCATTGTAAATACTTTTTTTCAACAACATAAAGGTTGACTATACACGTGGACCTTGCCAGGCGGAATACACAAGAATCAAACCAACTACATCTGTGGAAAGAGATGATGGAGAAGCTCAGTATCATCAGTTAGAACAAGGCCAGGGGCCAACAGTGAAACAGATCATCAATTGCTCATATGCAAGTTCAAGTTGAAGTTGAATTAGAGCAAGTCCACAAGAGCTAAAATAGGACCTTGAGTATATGGCACCTGAATTTAGAGACCATCTCAAGAATAGATTTGACACACTGAATGCTAATGAAAGAAGACCAGACGAGTTGTGGAATAACATCAAGGACATCATACGGGAAGAAAGCAAAAGGTCATTAAAAAGACAGGAAAGAAAGACCAAAATGGATCAGATGAGACTCTGAAACTTGTTGTTGAATGTAGAGTAGCTAAAGCAAAAGGAAGAAATGATGAAGTAAAAGAGCTGAACAGAAGATTTCAAAGGGAAAATATTGAATGACACAGGAAGCATCAAAGGAAGATGCAAGAAATACACAGCGTCACTGTACCAAAAAGAATCGGTCAACATTCAACCATGTCAGGAGGCAGTACATGATCAAGAACCGATGGTACTGAAGGAAGAAGTCTAAGCTGCACTAAAGGCATTGGTGAAAAACAGGCTCCAGGAATTGACGGGATACCAATTGAGATGTTTCAACAAATGGATACAGTGCTAGAGGTGCTCACTCATCTATATCAAGAAATTTGGAATATAGCTTCCTGGCCAACCGACCAGAAAAGATCCATACCTGTGTCCATTCCAAAGAAAGGTGATCCAACAGAATGTAGAAATTAACGAATATCATTAGTATCACACGCAAGTAGAATCTTGCTGAAGATCATTCAAAAACGGTTGCAGCAGTACATCCACAGAGAACTGCCAGAAGTTCAAGCCAGATTCAAAAGAGGACATGGAATGAGGGATGTCATTGCTGATGTCAGATGGACCTTGGCTGAAAGCAGAGAATACAAGAAAGATGTTTACCTGTGTTTTATTGACTCTGCAAAGGCATTAGACTGTGTGGATCATAACAAATTATGGATAACATTTTGAAGAGGCATTCCAGAGCACTTAACTGTGCTCTTGAGGAACCTGTACATAGACCAAAAGGCAGTCGTTTGAACAGAACAAGGAGATACTGTGTGGTTTAAAATCAGGAAAGGTGTGCATCAGGGTTGTATCATTTCACCATACTTATTCCATCTGTATGCTGAGCAGATAATCTGAGAAAATGGACTATGAGAAGAACACAGCATCACAATTGGAGGAAAACGCATTAACAACCTGCAATATGCAGATGACACACCTTGCTTGCTGAAAGTGAAGAGAACTTGAAGATTTACTGATGAAGATCAAAGACTACCCCTTCAGTATGGATTACACCTCAACATAAAGAAAACAAAAATCCTCACAACTGGACCAATAAGCAACATCATG